AACAGTTGATCAGGTGGTAGTCCTGGTATCGTGGTGCCTGACATGAACCCCCTAACCAGCAGGTGGCCCTGCCCGTTCTGTGTCCTCTGCAGACAATGACGAGTGCTTGGCCCAGCCTGGCCCATGTGGCACCCGTGGACACTGCCACAATGCCCCAGGCAGCTTCAGCTGTGAGTGCCATCAAGGCTTCACCCTGGACAGCTCAGGCCATGGCTGCAAAGGTAGAACCGGGCTTTGGGTGGGGTCTAGGCCTTGGGGGTGGTCCTGAGGGCTGCCTGGCAAGCCTTCTCTCCTCTCGGCATCTCACAGATGTGGATGAATGTGACGGGCCTCATCGCTGCCAGCACGGCTGCCAGAACGAGCTGGGGGGTTACCGCTGTGGCTGCCCCCAGGGCTTCACCCCACACTCCCAGTGGGGCCAGTGTGTGGGTGAGTAGTGGGGGCTGGGAGGAAGCCGACCCCCCACCAGAATCTGTCCAAAGCGGGCAACTAGGAACCACCCCCATGGCAGGATGTTGTGATAAGCACAAGTACCTCAAGGTCCGATGGGCTGGTCTGGAAGGTAGGTAGTTCCCTGCTGCTGGGCAGGCTGGGGAGTTAAGGGTCTGCAGAGTCAGCCTGGCAAAGTGGTGGCCGTTTCTTAGGGAGTGATGGTCTGGAGGGCTCAGTGGAGATTCTGAGATGGTATCTGTGATCACTGGGAAAGGAGTGCTGGGATTGATTAGTGGCGTCTGCCATGGATGTGGCAACGGAAGTGGGTGCATGCATGCTGCATCTTTTGTCATAGCTGTTGCAGACGCCCTTGGTTTGGGGGACTAGCCTTCTGCCTTCCCTCCAACCTTGCCCACTGCACCCTTCTGTTTGCTGCTCCGGCACCTCCCAATGACAGCCTCGTCCTCACCACCTCTCTTTGTTCCTCCTCTGCAGTCTGGCTTTCACTCTGTACCCATGTAGGGACCACTCTCCTGCATCCTCTCCATCACCTTTCCTCAGATTTCGCCTTCCACCCCCTCTGCTCTGGGCACCACTGCCTGCCCCTCCTGGACTCTCCACCCACAGCCTCTGTGACTCGGCTTTCCCCTCCCTCCCACTGCCTCGGCACTGCCTTCTCTCCAGCTCGTCCTCCTGCCCCTCCTGGTGGGTCCTCAGCTAAGTTCTCCGTCTTTTCCTCTGTCCCTCAGTATTTGTCCCCTGGGGACCCCGCAGACCATTGCCTCTGCTGCCAAGCCCTCTTTCTCAGCCTGCTCCACATTAGTTACTCATTCATTCCTTCGGCGACGGTTTGCCCAGGACCCATGGATACAGAAGTGAGCTGAGATCAGACTCCATCCCTGCCCTCCCATTGTCCAGTCTTCCGGGGGAGACAGGGGTTAATTAGGCCAGTGGTTCTCAACTGGGCACTGTTTTGAAGTGTCTTGGAGATATTTTTTTTTCTTTTTTTGTCTTTTTTTTGTGGTACGCGGGCCTCTCACTGTTGTGGCCTCTCCTGTTGCGGAGCACAGGCTCCGGACGTGCAGGCTCAGCGGCCATGGCTCACGGGCCCAGCCGCTCCATGGCATGTGGGATTTTCCCGGACCGGGGCACGAACCCGTGTCCCCTGCATCGGCAGGCGGACTCTCAACCACTGCGCCACCAGGGAAGCCCTCTTGGAGATATTTTTGATGGTCACAACTGGGCACTGGGTGCTCCTGGAATTTAGTGGGTGGACACCAGGGATGCTGCTCAACACCCTGCAGTGTGCAGGATGGCCGCCATCACAGAGAATGAAACGGCCCCTAACGAGAATAGTGCCGAGGTGGGGAAACCTTGTTCTAGATCATCCCACCGTTTAACATTCCTCAGAAGTTTTGAGAAATGCTTTAAAGGAAAATTACAGGATGGCGGGGGGGGGGGGGGGGGGGGGGGGGGCGGATAAAGGAGTGTAGGGGACAGCAGACCTAGTCCAGAGGCTCACCGGGAGCTTGATGGAGGTTTTGACGTTGGCCTTGGGCTCTGAAGGAGGAACCAGAGTTGCCACGTGGGCATGGGACGGATGCATGTGGAGGGATCTGGAGATGCGAAGGCTGTCCCCTGCCCCTCCCCCCGTCCTCCCCCTCCCCCTCTACAGACAAGAACGAGTGTGTCCTGTCACCCGCGGCCTGCGGCAGCGCCTCCTGCCGCAACATGCTGGGTGGCTTCCGCTGCGTCTGCCCCTCCGGCTTTGACTTCAACCAGGCCCTCGGGGGCTGCCAGGACGTGGATGAGTGTGCGGGGCGGGGCGGCCCCTGTAGCTACAGCTGTGCCAACACCCCTGGTGGCTTCCTGTGCGGCTGCCCCGGAGGCTACTTCCGGGCTGGGCAAGGGTGAGGGGCTTGAGCGGGGTGGACACAGACACCCGAACCCTGGGAGTGCACACACGCACACACACGCCTGTGCACACGTTCACGTGCATACGTGTGCATGGAGAAATGGATGCAGGGGACTTCCCCGGTGGTCCAGTGGTTAAGACTCTGCGCTCCCACTGCAGGGGGCGTGGGTTTGATCCTGGTTGAGGAACTAAGATCCCACATGCTACACACGCCGCATGGCCAAAACAGAAACCAACAAAAACAAAAACAAAACAAAAAAGAGAAATGGGTGCGGAGGCCCAGTGGCAGCTGTACCTGTGCACACACAGGCTCACACCCCACGTGGAGTAATTGTCCTGTATGTGCTTAGTGCAGGATGCACGCCTCCCTGTAATACATGTGAGTGTGTGTGAGGCTCACACCTGTGCCAACATGCCCGGGCACCCTCATTCATGTATCCCAATGCGCACATGCGTGCAAGCACATGTCAGCATCCAGGGTGCACGCAGGCTCATACACGCATACGCCCCTGGGTACACTCAGGTATATCCTGCACCCCTGCATGCATGCAGGTTCACACCTACACCCAGGAAAGCCAAGGGATGCACACACACACGTGTAGGCACATGCAAATCCGCACTGGCACCTTGGTACACTCGTAGTTGCCCCCACGGGCAGAGTGGCTCCAAATGGAGTGTAGGGGGTGGGAGGGTGGTAGGAGAGGTCCCATCAGCCTGCCCTGAACACTTTCCCACCCCTGTCCTGGCTCAGGCACTGTGTCTCTGGCCTGGGCTTCAGCCCTGGACCTCAGGATGCCCCAGACGAGGAGCTGCTCTCACCTGAAGCCTGCTATGAATGCAAGATCAACAGCCAGCCCCCTCGTGACCGGCCACGGCGCAGCCCCCGTGGGGACTATCAGGTACCGTGGGGAATGCACTGGGCATGGGGCACAGTGAGTGGCAGGGACAGCCAGGGAACCGGCCAGGGTAAGAGGACCAGGCTCCATGTCACAGCTTGTCCCCTAAATCGTGGTGCCTTTCTGGGTCTTCGTGTAGTTCCCCAGCCTGAGGATTCCCCTTGGGGGCTCTCTGGGGGACACAGGCCCCCAAGCACCCCACCTTGCTCCAGATGAGAAGTCAGGCACCTCCCACACAGGCCCTGGGTGTGATGCTTCCCGTGGATCCCTTCCATGGAGCTTCAATGCAAGAAAAATGCCTTGGGCCCCCCAACCCTGCCTGCACCCTGGAACTTGTCACCTGTCACCTCCTGGCTGGCACAGCCCTCCCTCAGAGCCCCTCTGGATTTAGCACCAGTAGCGCTCAGAGCAGCTAGCTTAACCGCTTCCATCATCCCCTTTCTTCAGACCCTCTGCACCTCTTTCCTGCACCCACAATGCTCCTGGAGCTATGCTCAGGCCTCCTGAGCCCTCCTTGTCTCTCCCCCACCCCACCCGCCGTGCTCTCAAGAACAGCAGAGCAGCCCTGTGGTTTAGTCCCTCTGTCCCCTGGGGCCGCTCCAGCTATGACCCTGACGCCACCAGGTTGTGCAGGGAGGGCAGTTTTGTCACAAATTCAGCTTGCTTATCCTACAGCTGAAAAGTCCTTGAGGCCACTGCTGCCTGGTCTTGCCACTATGCCCCAAAGAATCTGAAAGCTAACCATTTATTAAGCACCTGCTGGGTACACGTGCTGCTCCAAGCATTCTGCATTCATTCACAACCTCTCAATGTTTACGACAGCCCTGGGAGGTGTAGGTACCACTATCATCCTCATTTTACAGATGGGGAGACTGATGCTCAGAGAGGTTAGGTCACATGCCCAAGTTACAGAACTAAAACCTGGCAGAGCAGGATGGCAGTCATCCCGGGCCCCTCTGCAGCCACCACCTTCTGAGGTCATTACTTTCTGTTATTTCAAAAAAAAAAAAAAATCACTGAGCACAGAAGCCATTACCCACATCTGGAACCAAACTCCTTCACTCCATAGATTTTACTGAGCACCTACACTGTGCTGGACTCATAGCGAACAAACAAGAAAATGGAGCAACAGTGAACAACGCATAAAACACACACACACAAAAAAAAGTCCCTGTCCCCATAGGACTGATATTCTAATAGAGAGACAGATAAGAAATATGCAAAACACATCATATTTTGTAACACATGATAAGTATGATACATGATAAATACTATGGGGAAAAAATGAAGGCAGAAGTGGGAAAGGAATGCTGGGTCTGAGGGGCTCTCAATATTAGATTATCTAAATATGAATGTTCCTTTGCTTTCCTTTTCCTTCTAGTTGTTTCCCCTTTCTGGGGAAAAGAGTGTGTACATATTATGCCCATTTAACTTACCGTTATTTTTGTAAGCATCACAGGTATAGGGCCCAGTGTCTGTCAGGTTTGCCACTGTGTCACCAGCCCTTGCTACTCAGTAAGAGTGAGTGGAGAGGTTGTCAGGGCTCCTGGCATGGACACAAGCAGATCTGGGCAGAGGCAGGCAGGGTCCTGTGGCTTTGCCTGCAATACCCACGGATTGCCAGCAGGTGTCAGTAAGAGCACACGTCTGAGCAACAGTCCTGGTGAAGGGCTGGGAAACAAGAATAGTTTTCACTTTCCTGCAACAGCAAAACACTCCATCAGCATGTAAATTAGGCAGAACAAACAGCTCTGCCCAGAGCAAAGGATAAGAAAACACAGATAATCTCCTGTGGGATTGGATACATCACCCAGCCCCCGTCAGCCTGCCTTTGAGGTTTGCTGGCTTATTCAGGGCCCTGTCCGGCTGCCAGGATCAGGAAGCATTCTGAGGAGCTCAGATAAAGAGGGGTTTGTCATCTGCACACGGGGGGGGGGTGGTCTCAGAGAGCGCAGATGCAGGAAGTGCAGCCAGCCTCCAGAAACCGGATAGCTACTGGGCAGCTCCTTTGTATGGCCCAGCAGGGTCTTGTGTTTCTCTCGCTGTGTCTGGGGCTGGCTCATGCCGCAAGGCCCTTGGTCATAATTCCAGCCACCCCAGACCATCTTTGAGTGACCTCGGGTGTTTTGGGGCCAGATGCCATCTGACTGCCTCCCAGTCTGGGTATCTGAGGGAAAATTCTCCATTTCCTCCACCAGGCTGGCAGGGATCGAACTAAGGCCCCTCAGTTGAAACAAGGGGTCTGGAGTCAACCTGTGAAAAAGTTTCCTTTCCACCTGGGAACCAGCCTCCACCTCTATCCTCTACTATAGCCCAAGCTGACCATTGGCTTTATGGGTGGGGAGGGCTAGACAGGAGTCAAGGGCAGGGAGTGGTCTGTGTTTTCCTCCATTTTAGAGATTGCCTAAAATTCTCCTCTTGGTCCCCTACCCACCGCATTCTGATTTCTCCCAGCCCCTGCCATCATCCACCTGGTCTTTCTCCCCAGGCGAGCCTGGCCAGCCTTGATTCGGAGGCTCCGCTGACCTTGGGCCTGAACCTCTCCCGCCTGAGCCGGGCCGAGCACATCCTAGAGCTGCGGCCGGCGCTGGAGGGTCTGGGGGGCCGCGTCCGCTACATCATTGCCCGTGGCAACGAGCAAGGTTTCTTCCGCATGCATCACCTCCGCGGCCTCAGCTCCCTGCAGCTGGGGCGTCGGAGGCCGGGGCCAGGAACCTACCAGCTGGAGGTGGTGAGCGTGGCTGGGGCCTGGGGCACCCAGCCTGAGGGGTGGCCGGCAGGCCGGGCCTTGCGGCTAAAGGTGCAGCTGCAGCTGCTGTAGTCCAGGGGCACCCACGCCTCACACCTGGCCCCAGGCCCCTCTTCAGCCCGCTTCCCAGACTCACCACCTGGGCACCACCCCCACCCCCCGCCTCCTTCCACAGGATGTCACTCTGTTTGCTACACCCCTGCCCCACCCACCCCCACCCCGCCCCCGGGAGACCCTTGACAAGCCCTGGCGTCGATGGGCCCCAGGGTCCCCATGCAGTCCTCCTTTCCAGAGGCGGGAAATACTAGAGCTGGGAGGGATCAATCCCCGGCGGCAGTGGCCGACCAGGTGGAACCCCAAAACTCAGGAAGAGCGAAATGCTATCCTATGACCTCAAGCGAGCCCAGCCTCTATCCGAGGGACCCCACCATTCGGTGTTTCCTGGAGACAGCTGGCAGCTGCTGTGCCGTGCCCCCTCCACTTCAGCCAGGGTCAAGGAGGGCCCTGGGTTTCACTGTATCTGGTCCGTCTCGGGCTTAAACTTCTGCACTGCACGGGGGCTCAGCCCTGGGGGTTGGTGGGACATGGGAACGGGTGACTAGGGTGGGCCTAGGGCTCGTCCCTCCCAGCAGAAGGGCCCACGGGGCCCCAGCCAGAGTTGCTGACATGCAGCCATGTTCATTCCCACGGGGAGCTGGGCTAGGGTTCTGAGGATGCTTTTCTATCGGGAGCAGAGACAACAATAAAGTTATTTTGGGTTAAGTCTGTCCCTCGGCAGGTTCTGGCAGTAAGTAGACGCTGCCCTTGGCAGGGCTGGGCAAGGCTCACGTGGCGGGGTAGCAGGAGGCCCCAGGAGGGCAGCAGCTTTGGAAAGGATGCACTTCTGCCTAGGGTTCTGAAGAGGATGTGCGTACGGGAGAGGTGGGTGAAGACCATCCTGCACCTGGGGGTGGGGGACACCAGCCCAAGGTGCAGGTAGGTTCTACCAACTTCAGACCTGGGAGTTTGGCACAAAGCCAGGCTGCAAGTGGCAACCATTGGATCCCTTGTGGGTTCACCATTACTGATAATAATGGCTTATGATTTCTGACCCCATACTATGTACCAGGCACCATTCTAAGCATTGTACAATTACTGACCCATTCAGTCCTTGTGACTGAGTCCAAGCTCAGACTACTCGCCACATGACAGGCCAGTAAATCGAGAGACGAGTTGTTGGGACAAGGAATAGCGACTTTATTCGGAAAGCCAGCAAACCGAGAAGGTGGTGGACTCATGCCCCAAAGAACCATCTTGCCTGAGTTAGAATTCAGGCTTCTTTTATACTAAAAGGGGAGGGAGTAAAGTCAAACCAATTTCCTTGTTCTGGTCAGCTTCTGGAGGGGATGTGTTCATTTCTTCCTGCAGACATTCACAGGTGGGCCTGGCCTGGATGTTTCTAAACATCCTGGCCTGGATGTGAGCTAAACAAAGGTATTTTAGCTTAGTGCTCACTACCTGGGAATCAGGGTTCCTGGCCCAAGATGGGCCATTATGTATAATTTAAGCTTATAGGCAACATCCCTTTAGTGATTAACTTGTAATAGAATATAAAATTTCTTCCTGGGCTTCCCTGGTGGCGCAGTGGTTGAGAGTCTGCCTGCCGATGCAGGGGACACAGGTTCGTGCCCCGGTCCGGGAGGATCCCACATGCCGCAGAGCGGCTGGGCCCGTGAGCCATGGCCGCTGAGCCTGCGCGTCCGGATCCTGTGCTCCGCAGCGGGAGAGGCCACAACAGTGAGAGGCCCGCGTACCGCAAAAAAAAAAAAAAAAAAAGTTCTTCCTTATTACATCATCACTATGACCCCATGGAATAAATACTGTTATTCTCATCCCCATTTTACAGATAGGAAAACTGAGGCTCAGAGAGGTTAAATGACTTGGCCGAGGTGACACCAGATTACAGGTAGAAGAACCAGATTCAAAGTTGGGCAGCCATGCCAGTGTCCTGGCTCCATCCTGCCTGGCTCCAGGTTGGACTGGATCTATTGAATTTGATGGCTGAGCTCAGTGGATGGGATACTCACTGTGTTAACATGTAGCTTGTGCGTGTGCTGTATGTCACAAACGGCAGTGTATTTAGTCCCCACAGACTTGTATGAGGCAGGCAGTGTTATCACCTCTGTTTCACAGCGGGGAAACCGAGGCTCAGAGAGTTTATGGCATCTGCTCTGGGTACCCATACAGTGTAGTGGGGCCTGGAAGTTCCTTTGAGTCTGCACCCGGGCCCCAGGCCCCAGTGCTCAGCACCCCAGGCTGAGAGCACAGATCCTGGGGTGGGAGGGGATCACGTGGGTTTCAACACAGGCTGGGGACTCGCACCCCACAATGAAAGGTGACAGAGACAGGAATGACATCCCACCAATGGTTTATTTAAAAGTTACAGAGAAGCACATCCTGGGAGAGAACTGAAGCTTTGCAAAGACCCAGAGGGACACAGGCAGGTGTGTCCCTACAGGTAGGCAACTATAGTGATGGTTCTTTCCAAGAATCGTTGCCCAGGCAGGTGTGACTCTGGTGCCTGGAGTAGGCACGGGGCTTGAAATAACAGAGCTCCCTTGTTCCAGCTATCTGAGGAGCCGGAGGTAGCAGGGGTGACAGGGAGGGAACTGATGCAGCCTCAGGTGCGGGGACTGAGATTTGCCCTGAAGCACAGAGGGGCTGGGGCAGCTGAGGCTGCAGGGTGATAACTGTGGCATACAGAGGTCCAGCCCATCTCATGCTGGCTGATCCTAGAGAAGTGCGGGCTCATGGTCCTGCAGGAATGACGGGGCGGATCGGCGGGGGAGGGGGCGCTGGAGTGGAGTCAGGGGCCCTGAAGTTTTCAGTCCACACACTTGGCGTTTCATTTCAGCACTTGCCGAAGCCCCCTGGGCCGGAGCAGGGTAATAATGAACAGCCCCCTAGGACCCCCCCCATGCGAATCTGTGGGGCTGACCACAGAGCCAGCCCTCCGTGGTCCTGGAGGTGAGTCCCCTGACCCAGTCCGGGCTGATCAGGAGCCCTCATTCCTCAGCAGTGATGAGGGGAGGAATGGTCACATGCTCAAGAGTCCTGACCTGGATTAGCTGTTCTCAGGAGGGAGGTTTTCCTGTTGCTGCTTCTGGTGGGACCGCTAAACTTCGACAATGGTAGTGTGGAGTTTCCAGAGCTCAACTTCCTCACCCCAGAATGAGGGACTGTCAGAGAGAAGGCAAGAGAAATAGATAAGAGCTCCACCAATACCTTTGGATTACGTGGATCCAGCCCAGCCTGATGCCGCCCACTGGGTGGTTATTTGAGCCAATGAGTTTCCCATTTGCTTGAATTTTCCATCTCTAGCAATTGAAAGTGTCTTGACTAAAAGAGCTGCATGTTCACTCAAGCCTCCCACTCACAAGCCACTGACTCTTTTTGGGGTGCAGGCAGCTGTCAGATGCTGGCCTGCCATCCCCTCCTTTGGGGGTTGAGAAGCTCAGGGGCCCGCAGCAGGGAGGGTCGGCCCCTTAGATGCTGGGCTGGGGTCTCACCCACCCTGGAAGTTTCTCCGGGTGCCGTGGTGGGGCTTTAAATGGGTCTTCTTCCGAGCATCCAGGATCTTCATCCCAATCTGCACCCACCTGGCCCTTGGCTTCCCACACACCATCTTGTTTTTCTGGGGGAAGAAGAATCTGCAGGGATGGGGGTGTAAGCGGGGAGCGAAGTTGCGTGAGAGTCCCCACCCCCTCCCCCATGATCCCACTCACATCACCGCAGGCAGGTTGCAGCTCCCGCTCACGTCCTGGCGATGGTAACTCTGGGCGTACCGGAGCATGGACCGTCTTGCTGGGCCATGGTAAGCCAGGCAGCAGTCCTCAAAAGCACCTGCGACCACACAGCCGCCCAGAGGCTCGCATCTCTACACGTGCGTGTGCGGCTGCGCATGCGCTCTTCAGGAACGCCCACAGCCTTGGGCACCCGCGAGCCCGCGCGCGCACACCACAACCCTCCCATGCACTGTGGAGGCCCGGGGACAGCCCAGACGGTAAGGAGGCCGTTCGGCTCACCTTTGGTCCTTGATAAGCGGACAGGAAGCGGGAGTTGGAAAGGGCCCCGCAGGCCCCTGCTGGGTAGGGCCCAGGACCACGAAATAAATGGGGGACCAAGGCCATTTCCATTCCTGCTCTGGGGCGGAGGGCAAGGAGGGGGTGCAGCGCCCTGAGAAGGGGAGGGGGGCGTGGTTGGACGAGGAGGAGGTGGTGGTGCCAGAAGGTTCTGGAAGAATGAGCAGGTGGAATGAGCAGAGGATGAATTAATGTGGAGAAGGTGCTGGGCCTTCAGGGTCCTCTGGGATCTGTCCCTCTGCCCACCCGTGCCTCCAGGGGCCACATCTCAGTTCTGGGAGGGCCGTGGGGAGGGCTTGGAGGCTCCCTCCATCCCCCACCTTGACCCTGAGAGCAAGGGGCAGTGGAGTCAGATGGACCCTGTGTTGCAGTGCCAGGCAGGCAGTTCCTCGGGGCTGAGGGCCCCGCTGGCCCCAGGATCAATGGGCCCAGGCTGGGCCTGGCGCCTGAAATGGACCTCTAATAGCAGGACAATGGGAACGAAGCCCAGTCCCCTCCTGGGCAAAGGGTAAGGTCTGCTGGGGGCAGGGCTAGGGCCTCTCAGAGCTAATGAGGGGCAGGTGGGTGGGGCCATGGGGCTTCCACCTGGCCAGGGGCCCTGCTTGGCCAGCTGCTGGGGCTCAGCTGCCTCCTCCGGCCCAGCGGGATGCAGAACGCAGCGGCAGAGCTGGGGGACACTGGGGGCAGTCAGAATAACCTTTGGTCACTAATCTCATCAAGTGCCTAAGCTAGGGAGAGCAGGAGAAGAATTCCCCATTGATAACAGTAATGGTTATCCGTGCTGCTGCCAGGCACTGGGTCAAGAGTTTTGCGGGAATCAGCCCATCGGATCCTCACGTCCCATCTCTGTAACAGGAGTTTGGAGCCCCACTTTGCAGATGAGGAAACTGGGGCTCATAAACGCTGAGTAGCAACTCTCAGCCGGACCGCACAGGTAGCCGGAGTAGGGGAAGCTGAGATGGAGACCCATGTTTGTTGGTCTCCCAGGTTCTGATCTCAACTCCTACCCCTGGCTCTGCAGGTTCAGGTCACTGCAGTGTGTCCCTGGGGGTAAGCGGCCCCGCTGCCCGCAGTCCCTGGACTGGCTGGAGTCCAGAGGGAGGCCTTGGGTCATGGACTGTGGAGGAGGCACCCAGGGCTCTGAAAGGAGGGGCTGAGGACCATGCACCCCCAAGGAGCTGCACAAATGCTAGGAGTTTTTGCATGCCTGCTGGGGGGAGCTGTCCACCCGAGAATGAATTCAGTGGTGAAGGGATGGGGGAGGCTTCTGGAGGAGGAGACAGGCACATGGCAGGGGAGGCACAAGAAGGATGGGGACAGGGGGACTCCAGGGGGGAGGGTAGGTATTGTCTGAGATAGTACCTTGAGCGTGGACAGTGGGAGCCCAGGCACCCACGAAGCAGGCCACCAGGCAGACCAGGAGCCATGGATTCATAGTGCAGGCTGGTCTTCCTCCTCCAGCGCCTTGAGGGTTAACTAGGAAGGGGGGGTAGGTGGTTGATGAGGACCCAACATGGACAGTGGCAGGCACTGGGAGCACCCCCGTCTCGAGCCAGGGCCCTCTGCAAGGGAGGCAGGTGGCATAGGATGGGGACAAGTGTGCTGGAGGGACCTGCTGCTGGTCTCGGGGGGAGGACTCACCAAAGCCAGTGGGGTCCCTGGAGCCGGTACCTGCTGGAGTGGACCCAAGCTCTCCTGCCTGCCACGCCAGCAGGCTTCACCCTTTATAGATGGAGCCCCGCCCTGCCGCTCCCTCCCCACCTCCTCTCCCACTCCACCTCCTGGCTTCTCCCTCCCACCCTGCCCTCCTCTGTTCTCCCCATGTCTTTCTAGCTCCTCTCTCCAATGTCAGGATGCACCTGTTGGAAGTTGGGCGCGAGGGGCAAAAGGACCCAAATCAAAGAGCTCGGCAGAAAACAATGACACCTTCAACTAAGTACTCGGACGGGGCGGTGTGGGGGGGGGGACGGACGGACAGGGATTTGGCTCCTTCAGTGATGAGAGGTGGACGGATGCAGGTGGACAGTCACAGCCTTGACCTCAACGAGCCCCCTTGAAGGCTCACGTGCCCCCTATCCCAGGCCCCTCAGCCAGCACCCCGGCTTTCTCCCTGGAGGGTCCTTTCTCCTCCTTGTCCCGGCCCCTCTCTTGCTGCACCTCTAGGTGGATACTGGCTTCCCAGGGGCAGGACCCAGGCAGCCTAGAGCAGGGGGAAAGTCTCCACCTCTGCTCCCCACTCCCAAGCCGCCTGTTCCCATGGGGCCCTGATTTCACCGCATTTTTCTCTCCTTCCACACAATGGGATGACTTGTGTGGAAGAAAAGCCTTGTTTTTGAGAACAGGCAAACCCATAGAAATAGAAAGTAAAATCAGTTGTTGCCATGGGCTGGGAGGAGGGGAGAATAGGGGGGGTGAGGGCGAAAGGGAAGGTATGGGTTTCTTTTTGCTCTGAAATTAGATGGTGGTGATGGTCAAGGGACTCTGTGAATATAGTAAACACCACGGAATGGTACACTTTCAATGGGTGATGTTGGCGAAGATAATCAATATTAAGATTAGAAAGGAGTTTGGGGACTTCCCTGGTGGCACAGTGGTTAAGAGTCCACCTGCCAATGCAGGGGACATGGGTTCAATCCCACATGCCACATGCCACGGAGCAACTAAGCCCGTGCGCCACAACTACTGCTCTCTAGAGTCCGCGAGCCACAACTACTGAGGCCCGCGCGCCCTAGAGCCCGTGCTCCTCAACAAGAGAAGCCACCGCAATGAGAAGCCCGTGCACCACAATGAAGAGTAGCCCCCGCTCGCCACAACTAGAGGAAGCCCGCACGCAGCAACGAAGACCCAACGCAGCCAAAAAAACCCAAATTAATTAATTAATTTTTTAAAAAAGAAAAGAATAGAAAGTTTTATTTGAGCCAAACTGAGGACTAGCCCAGAAGCCCACTTCCCAGATTACTCTGAGAAACTGCTCCAGAGAAGCAGGGTTTTCAGGGCAGTTTTATATCTTGTCAGAACAAAGAATATTAAACAAGTCAGGGAAACTTTTCTTCAAGGTTTCAGAAAAACAGACCAGCATGTACACAAAAAGTCAGTATGACCTTGGCACCTGGAAGGGAGTCTTATCATCAAAGGAGGACCAGCCCTGGCATCCCAGGAAGAGGGGCTTTAATCTTTATTTTTAACATGGACATTCTTTACTTCTGGTCAATGTGCCCTTTTCTTTAATAATTAAAGCAGACTGCAGTGCATGTTTGATAGGCCACAAACAGGCTATTTTAGGTAGCATCAAATTCAAGTTAACTCATGTATAAGCCAGAATGGCTTCCCTATATCTCAATATGTAAAAATTTCTTTTATCATGCAATGTATGGAACATGAATTTTCCCCAATATTACATTGAGAATAATCTCAATAGAACTGTTATTAACGACCACAATAAAGCAATGCTCTGGTTTTGGAAGAAAAGAGGGAGCCCCAGGTAACCACGCAGGCAGGAAGCAAAGCAAAACCCAACTAGAAGTAGTTTCTTTTTCTCCTGGGTTAGCGCGGCCCACCCGGAACAGGGGTGTGGGGATCGGGGTGGTGGGGTGGGGAGCGTCGGGGAAGGGGAAGGGGGTTCTGCAGAGAGCTCGCAGCTGATTGCTTTTAACCTTTTTATTGTCCGCATCCTTAGCTATGGACCACCCTGAGTATTTATGACACTCTGTACCGCTTTCTCATCTCTCGCGCTCCACCAGGAGGCCCTGGCAGGGAGTGGGGCACGCCACCCACTCCCTGGGTCTGGCCGGGTGGGTGGGGCTTAGCACAGGGGGCGGGGCCTGATGAAAGGCACTGGGCGCCGGGGCGGGACTTTCTCTTTGGGGCTTAGGCCAGGGCAGGGCTTACGGGCCCCGCCCCGCCCCTCCACAGCCGCGGAGACTCGGCGGCCCGGCTCGCGGTCCTGTGCCGGTGGCAGTGGCTGCTCCCGGGGTGGGTAAGGCTGGGCCAGGACGCGGCTCCGCGTGGCTGAGGGCGTGGGGACGCGGCGTGGCGGGCCGGGGCCAGCCTCCCCGCTGCGGCCCACTGCCCCTGCCTGCCCCGCCAGCGGTCAGCGGCCAAGACGTGGCGTTACGAAACCCTGGCTGAGGTGCCCCGTGAGCGAGCCCACCTCCCTGCACCTCACAGTTTGTCCCACTGGCAGCCTTAACGGGGAGGAAGGGGTGAGAGGAACCAGCACGCGCGCGGGGCAGACAGGGATTGTGCGCTCTTGGACCCGGCTCAGAACCCAGGTGTCCCGGCAGTGGACGGGATGCTTAGGGACTAAAGGCTCTGGGTTGAAACCCAGAGTTCGGAGGACCGCAGTTGCTTCACGGTCAGGGCTAAATTGCGAGAGTGGAAGCCTCCATTCCTACAGCTGCTGGAGGCATTAAGGGTAAACTGCTTCCAGCAAGGGGACTCTGTTCTCCGCACGTGTGAACCGGGCACAGAGGACAGAAGCTTCCTCCCGGTCAGCAGCTCAGAGAATGGGGCCGTTGTGCGTGGCCTCCAGCCTGCTGCTGAGCTAGACGCAGGGGCTGACCACACCCCAAGGACTGCAGGGCAGGCTGCAGTGCCCCCGGGGTGGGGGAGGGGTGGGCAAGGGCACAGCTCAGCTCAGGGTGCCTCTAGTGGGTGCACACAGATGGCTGTACTGCAGACTGGGGCAGCCAGTGGGCTTGGTGAGGGGAAATTCCAACTACTGCCTTTGGAGTGAGCTCCTCTGTGGGCTTGGTGAGGGGAAATTCCAACTACTGCCTTTGGAGTGAGCTCCTCTGGGGCGGACTCAATACCGGCTCCCTCTCATTTCTCTGCTGGAGGAAATTCCCAGGCGCTCAACGGTTGACCCACTTTTACAGAGAAGGAGACCGAGGGTCAGAGAGGCCAAGTCGGACTTCCCTGGCGGTCCAGTGGTTAAGACTCCACACTTCCAATGCAGGGGGTGTGGGTTCGATCCCTGGTCAGGGAACTAAGATCCCACATGCCGCGCGGCACATCCAAAATGAAATAAAATAGAGAGGCCAAGTCATTCCCCCTTCTAACTTTTTATTCTTGGCCAGGAAAATCCAACTTTTATTTCTTAAATATTGTGAAGGAAAGGGGGACAGTCCCCTAATGGCGGAAGGCCATTGAGCAGAGCTCATCAGAAAGGATGCTGAGGAAGCACCACCAGCTGAAGTAGGGGTCCTCCTGCAGTTGCTTTTGCATCAGACCCCCACCCCCCCCCACCCCAGTGCTGCCTACCACCCTCCTGAACCTACGGTGCCTGCAGGGCCCAGCTCGGGTGGCCTCTGAGAGAAGCAGCTGGAAACCCACCCCCCAACAACTCTACATAGTTGTGCATCTTATGGGGAGCATATCAGACCCTGGGTGCCCTGTCTTCCAGGCCTGGACATACCCAGCTCCCTTTCACTCTGGTCCTGATGCAGAGTGGTTACCAGGCAACTGGAGGAAGGAGGGAAAATTGGTGTTTTTTGGTTTTTGTTTTTTTTTTAAGGATGCCTTGCAAGCCTCTGGCCTGACTTTCAGGGACTTGGTTTCTAGACTGGCCCTGTGGGAACCATTTCACTGTGTTCCCGATGTGGATGGCCCAGCTGCCTCCTGAAAGGCCGGCCTTGAGGGGCTTCCCTCCCCAGATTGACCAGCTGCCTCTGTGTTCCAGGGGACCTGGGTGGGGAACTTGGGCTACCAGCACTGGTCGTGGCCTTGGCCTCGGTCCTTGTGCTTCTTCTGCTCCTACTGGACATGTGGGGGCTGAACCAGCTGGGGCCGGGGCAGGGGCAAGGGTGACACGGGGGGCAAGGGTGGTGAGCCCTGAGGAGAGGGTCCCATAGGGTTGTGAGTCCCTCTTTGAAGCTACTGAGCTCCACTCACACCCTCCACACAGGTTTTCTGGGCACCTCTTACATACCAGCCACGTGCTAAGTCCTGGGGTGACTGCAGTGAGCAAGGAGATGTGTCCCAGGCATGGAAGTTGATGGTGATGTCACTGATCCTCACCAGATACCTGTTTGGGGCCATTTGTTATCTCATTCATTCAACAGACATGTAGCGCGTGCCTGCTGTATGCCAGGTACTGGGCTGGGTACCAGGGTAAGCAGTGCAGAACACAGATAGCAAATAGCGAAGCAAGGCGTGACAGGGAGATGCCGGGGATGGGTTGGGCTCCTCTGAAGAAAGTGACTTGAAGTGACAGCAAACCCTATGGGATTCATATCTATCCCCACTTGACACGGAAAAAAACAATCAGCTGAAGTCCAGAGAGGTTAATTTACCTAAGTAAGCGGGGGGTCAGATTCCAAGTCCAGGTCAGACTCCATTCCACATATACTGCTTGGGTGCTGCATTAAGTGTGTCTTTTTGGGTTTGTTTTCAATGATGTATTTTATTTAACCCTATCCAAGATAACATCATTTTAACATATAATCAAATCAAAATGATTTATGAGATATTTTCCC